TGATAAAGTACTTCCTCAGAGTATTGTACGCTCCATGAAGGAAGAAATCATGTCCGTCTTTTCTTTACTGTAGCTCTAAGCCTACCATAGGAGGTCCTTATTTGTAGGATCAATCAATGATTGTATTACTATTGCTTCACTGTATCACACAGTGTTAGCAAAAGAAGTAAGAGGTGGGAAATGAGAGCATGATGTGATTTCTTCTTTTTATGAATTACCAAAGCATTTGTTTTTTCTGCAGTCTTACAATCATGTGTTTGCTTGTGTTTTGTCTGCTTGTTTGTTTCATGCTCCTTCAGCAGTGCCAGAAATGAGCCAGGCACTGTGGGGGATTTAGGCCCTGCCCGGTCTGAATTCTCTCATCACAACAGAGAATCCTTGAGAGCGGGCATCATACCATATGTACATTTATCATTGTATGATAGTATGTATAGATAGATGCTCAGTAAGTATTTATTCAAAACTGAATATTAGCACCTTTGAAATAGGAGAATATCTCAATGTGCTGAGAGAAGCAGGTACTACAGACTCACTTGCTGGACTTCTATCAGCCAAGAATCTTAAACACCATGTTTTTCCCTTTGTACCTTTTTAAAAAATGTTTATGAATGAAATGTACTGAGCCTCCCCCACCCTGTGCATCTCACTCTTCTCCTGTACAAACAGGATGTAAAGACAGGGTTGGTTGGTAGAAAGGAATCTGCTAATACCTAGGTTCCAATACCTTTGAGAGACAGAGAGAGATGTCAGTTGGCTAATGTTGTAGGATGGAGAGCTGGCACCCTTTTTTCTCTCTGCCCATATGCGTTTCCCTTTTTTCTTTCATTTCCATATGTGATATGATAGTAATGTATTTTTTGCTGGTCCCAAACAAGAAAACCTATTGGAGGTCTTTTATTGCTTGGATTGTCTATGGTCTTAAATCATCTTTGCCAATTTTCCTATTGTCCTTTCTATACTAACGACCTTGACTGCAAACCTCCAGAGTTCAATAACTGATTTGTTAATTAGATTGAGGCCTTTTTCCAAGAAGGGCTGAAGCTCTTATTACAATATGATTAATAATATTTGTGGCCATGTATATACATACTTAGGTATGTTGTGATCCATATTTTTTCCAAAAAACCGTCTTGGTTATAGATAATTTGGTTTCCATCTGTGAGAGCAATAATAAAATCTGTATACAACCTGGCGCGGTGGCTTACGCCTGTAATCCCAGCACTTTGGGAGGCCAAGGGGGGCGGATCACGAGGTCAGGAGATCAAGACCGTCCTGGCTAATATGGGGAAACACCGTCTCTACTAAAAATACAAAAAATTAGCTGGAGGTGGTGGCGGGCGCCTGTAGTCCCAGCTACTCAGGAGGCTGAGGCTGGAGAATGGTGTGAACCTGGGAGGCAGAGCTTGCAGTGAGCTGAGATCGCGCTACTGTACTCCAACCTGGATAACAGAGCGAGACTCAAAAAAAAAAAAAAAAAAAAAGTCTGTATACAAGTGGTTAACATTTTCAAAAATATTCAAGCTTCTGCTAAGTACTCGAAATGATCCAAGGGATACAGTGATGTGAAGAGTAAACATAGTAATCTAGTGAGGGAGACAGACAATAGACAAACAGCAAATATATAAATACAAATTCTGGGCAGTTATGGAGGAAAGCATCAAGATGCCATGCTAGAGAATGAAAGGTCCAGCTTCAGCAGGGTGGTCAGGGCAGGGACTACATTTCTGAAGATGTGACAGTTAAGCTGAAATTTGGAGGTCAAGAAGGATGCAGTCATGCTAGGATGGCAGAGAAAGCCATTGCAGGCAGAGCAGAAGCAATGTTTTTTGTTTGTTTGTTTGTTTTTTAAAGCCTGTCCTTTGAGCAGGAACTATTTGTTTGGGGGTGAGGATGGTTGTGGAGCATGGACATCCATATTTTGTCCCCAGTGAGTGAGGTCTAGGATCAGGAATGCAGACTGTGATCATGAGTCCAGATTTCTTGGAGAATCCTTTGTATTTCCATACTCACCTCTACAGTGCTCCCATTTTAGTCCTTGCGATCAGCTCAGTAGCTGCAGACCCATGTAGATAAGTGCTGTATGTTGTCTTCCTAGTTCCTTTAGCTCAGAGCATAAATAGGTGGTTGGTTCATAGATGCTTCTAAGTATGACTGGGTAGCATTAAAAATCCTTTATGTTAACTTGTTCTTTCAGGATCTGTGATTGTTAGGAGCCTTTCTTCTGGACATTTTCAGTACCGTTTTAGCTTTTCTCTGTCATATGGAGTTGAGTAATTCAAAGTGATACCAATAGGATCGTTTTGAGGATGTCGTTTGTTTTTTGTTTGTTTGTTTGTTTGTTTGTTGTAAAGAGATAGAGTTTCTCACTCTGTAGCCCAGGCTGGAGTGCAGTGGTTCCATCATAGCTCACTGCAGCCTCAAATTCCTGGGGTCAAGTCATTCTCCTGCCTCAGCCTCCTGAGTAGCTAGAACTACAGGCTCACACTAGCATGCCTGTCTAAGTTTTTTATTTTTTGTAGAGATGGGGTCTCCCTATGTTCCCCAGGCTGATCTCAAACTCTTGGCCTCAAGCAGTCCTCCAATTTTGGCCTCTCAGCACTTTAGGATTGTAGGCATGAGCCACTATGCCCAGCCCTTTATGATCCATTTTGAGTTAATTTTGTATATGGTGTGAGGTAGAAACCCAAATTCATTGTTTTGAATGTGGATATTGGGTTTTCCCCATGCCATTTGTTAAAAAGACAATTCTTTCTTGATTAAATTGTCTTGGCAACCTTGTCAAAAATCAACTGACTGGCTGGGCACTGTGGCTCACACCTGCAATCCCAGCACTTTGGGAGGCCAAGGCAGGCGGATCACAAGGTCAGGAGATTGAGACCATCCTGGCTAACATGGTGAAACCCTATCTCTACTAAAAATACAAACAAAATTAGCCGGGCATGGTGGTGGCGCCTGTAGTCCCAGCTAATCAGGAGACTGAGGCGGGAGAATGGCGTGAACCTGGGAGGCGAAGCCTGCAGTGAGCCACTGCACTCCAGCCTGGGTGACAGAGTGAGACTCTGTCTCAAAAAAAAAAAAAAAAAAAAAAAAATCAGCAGACCATCAATGGAAGGGTTTATTTCTCCACTCTCAATTTTGTTTCTTTGATTTATATGTCTATTTTTATGTCAGTGCCACACTGTCTTAATTACTATAGTTTTACAATAAGTTTCGAAATTTGGAAGTATGAGTCCTTCACATTTTTTTCATCAATATTATTTTAGCTGTTATGGGTTTCTTGCATTTCCATATGAGTTTTAGGATCAGCTTATCAACCTCTGCAAAAAAGACAAATGGAATTTTCATGAGGTTTGCACTGAATCTGCATATCAATGTGGGGAGTATTGCCATCTGAATAATATTAAGGTTTTTGATTCATGAATTTGGGATATGGGATGTTTATTTGTTTAGATCTTTTATTTCTTTCAATGATGGTTTGTATAATAGTTTCCAGTGTACAAGTCTTACGTTTCTTTCTTTTTTTTTTTTTTTTTTTCCTGAGACATGCCCTCAGTCTGTCACCTGGGCTGGAGTGAAGTGGCATGATCTTGGCTCACTGCAACCTCTGCTTCCCAGGTTGAAGTGATTCTTATGCCTCAGCCTCCCGAGTAGCTGGGATTACAGGTGTGCACCACCACACCGGCTAATTTTTGTATTTTTAGTAGAGACTTTTGCCATGTTGGCCAGGCTGGTCTCGAACTCCTGGCCTCAGGTGATCCGTCCACCTTGGCCTCCCAAAGTGCCGGGATTACAGGCTTGAGCCACCACAACCAGCCTTACATTTCTTTTGTTAAATTTTTTCATAAATATTTTTATGCTATTTCATTGTAAATGGAATTATTTTCTTAATTTTATTTTTGGATTGTTCATTACTATATGGAGCACTTTTGGTTTTTCTATTGTGGTAACATATATATAATGTCAAATTTATCATTTTAACCATTCTGAAGTATATAATTCACTGGCATTAAGTATATTCACAGTATTCAGTGTTTTGTAACCATCATCACTATCTATTTCCAGAATTTTTTCATCATTCCAAGTAGAAACTCTGTACTCCTTGAGCAATAACTCCTTATTACCCCTACCTCCAGCCCCTGGTAACCTCTACTGTACTTTTTGTCTCTCAGAATTTACTTATTCTAGGCACCTCATATAAGTGCAGTCACACAATGTTTGTCCTTTTGTGTCTGGCTCATTTTACTTAGCATGTTTTCAAGATGTATCCGTGTTATAGCATATATCAAAATTCCATTCCTTTTTATGACTGAATTATATTTCATTGTATGTTTATACCACATTTTGTGTATACATTCATTTATCAATAGATACTTGAGTTGTTTCTAGCTTTTGGCTATTGTGAATAATGTTGCTATGAACATTGCTGTACAAGTATAAGTGTCCATTTGAGTCCCTGCTTTCAGAGTTCTGCTGGATGTATACTTAGGAGGAGAATTGCTGGATCATATGATAATTTTTTGTTTAATTTTGGGGGTAACTAAGAGGCAAACTATTTTCCACAGCAGCTGAACCATTTTACATTCCTACTAGCAATGGACAAGTGTTTCAGTTTCTCCACATTCTCACCAACACTTGTTATTTTCCTTTTTTTTGATAATAGTCATCCTAATAGATGTGAATGTTGTTTTTAAACTGAGAATTAAACTGCATCTAACAATCTTTGTAATAGTAGATCCCTCAGATCAGTGTATAGAAAGTGTGTTTCATTGAAAAGAAAGTCAAGGAAAATTGTGAATTTTCTCTATTCAGCTTTGTTTCCTTAGTAAAATAATTATAATAATTCCTTATTTAATTATAGTAATTTCCATAGTTTATTATAGTTGAGGGTAAATCTTCAATGTAAGGCTGGGCTTTTTAGAAGAGGAATATTTTAAACTTTATATCTATCATTTTAAAGTTTGGAAAATATAATTCTTCCTGTATTTTTTGTGACATTAAAGACAACAGAAACCAGTGGTAGAACTCTGCCAGACAAGGGTGAAGAGGCCTGTGGATATTTCTTGAACCCTTCCTTGTTGTCACCAGAATGTTCACCAACAACCACGAAAAAGAAAACAGAAGACATGAGTGACCTCCCCTGCGAAAGTCAAAGGAGCATACCTCTCGCTGTGACTGATGCTTTAGAGCATATTATGGAACAACTCAATGTTTTGACACAGGTGGGCATGGCACAGGTTGCATGCATTGCACTTGGGGGTAAGATACACAAAACAATTCTGGATACAGCAAGTTGCAGAACTAGCAGAGCAGGGGAAATTTTTCTGTACTAGCAAAGCAAACTCAAGGTGGCGATGCCCTAAACAAGATTTTATGGAAATGAACTCAGAGCCTATGCATTTGTGTGTGCACCTGCACACACACACACACACACTTTAAGCCATTCCTAAGAAAAAATTTAGAGCCATAAGAAAAATATATTGGGAGTAACCATTTCTGGTTAGTATGAAATATTGCCAATGTTTGTAGATTTTAACTCTGAAAATATTCTCACTGTCCAGTATATAACTTCTCTTATCCCAAAGCCTCTTACATTGATGCAGTGATCTTCCAGGTGTGATGGTTTTGCATTCCCATGTTAGAATATTACCCAGTTTTTGGAGGCCAGTTTACCTTTGCAAAGAAAAATACAGTGGATCTTAAATAATATACCAAAATTCTTGGTTACAAGGTATAGACATAATTTAAGGGAAATGGTATGTTGAAATGGATACACCAAAGGTTTCTCTTCCAGCTCTGTTGATTCATTGTTCCCTTTGAATAAGTCTTCTCTTGTTCCTCTTTGATATGTAGAATGAGAATACTAGATACTAATATTTGTTGGAGTGGACAGTAGCAAGTTATATAAAAAGATGGTAAAATATGAACTACAGAGATGTCAATTACTTGTCCAGAAAAAAAAAATATTTCAAATAGAAATAACTTTTGCATAGAAATCACCCAATTGGTTCTCAACCCTGACTGTCGGCTATAATCATTAGGGCAGCTAAAAAACGTACATATACCTGGTTTTCACCTCCAGAGAGTCCATTTCCATTGGTCTGGGATAAGGCCCTAGCATCAGTCTTTTAAGAACTCCCATATGATTCTGTTTTACAGCCAGTGTTGAAAACCACTAATTTAAGTGAATATTTTTATCCTGTAGATATCACCTCAGGGCCTTTGGAGGCATCTGACAGATTGTGAGAAAGAGCCATGTGAGAACTTGGAGTCATCATATGACTTGCTCAAAGAAAATCATGTTAAAAATCACTTCGTTTCATTTTGTAATATTGTATTATACGTGACTTTCTCTTTATTTATCAGGCATCTCTTTTCCTTAAAGGCCATTGCCCTCTTCACTTCATGTCAAATTTAGTTGTAGTTGGTTTGTTTCCCATATTGCCATAACTTCCTCACCTAAACTGTTAACCTTTCGACATTCAGTCCTCATTAGGGTCTCTCCCGAGTGAATCTTTCCATTCCCTGTTCTTTCAGTTTCATGACCTATTCTCCTCCTTTTTACCGGATTCAAAGCTAAATAAATCACTTTAAGCTTTATTGAATTTCTGTATGATTTTTAATTCTTAGGGAATGGATTCATTTTACATATTAAAAAGGTTAGAAGCAGGCACAACACACTTGCAAAAGGGGAGCAGTGACTCTGTGGGCAAGCAGCAAGTAAAATAAATACATTCTGATTTACTTTAATTACAGGTGACTTAACAACACCTAACTAAGTTGGAGGGTGTTTATTGTTAATGAACTATAATTAGAAATACATTGAAATGAAATTATGTTTTAAATGGTAGACAGATGGAGTTAACCCCTTTTAAAGGTGTTAATAATGTATAAATAACTTTTAGCATTTGGAACTGTGATAAAGTGTCTAAAGGGCTGAGCACAATGGCTCACACCTATAATCTCAGCACTTTGAGCCTCTGAGGCAGAAGGATTGCTTGAGCCCAGGAGTTCAAGACCAACCTGGGCAACGTAGTGAGACCCCATTTCTTCTTTTATTTTTTTATTATATAGAGACAGGGTCTCGCTATGTTGGCTAGGCTAGTCTCAAACTCCTGGGCTCAAGCGACTCGCCCAGCTCAGCCTCCCAAAGTGCTAAGACCTCATTTCTACAACAACAGCAACAACAAAATTAATTAGCCAAGCAGGGTGGCACGCACCTATGGTCACATCTACCCAGGAGACTGACGTGGGAAGATCGCTTGAACCCACAAGGCAGAGGTTGCAGGGAGCTAAGATCAAGCCATTAACACTCCAGACGAAGACCCTGTCTCAAAAAAAAAGTGTCTAATAAAATGCTTGGCACATAGTAAGCACTCAATAAATGGTAGAATGTATTAACAGCTCGCTATTATTTTTAATTAGTAATGATCTATAGATTGTAAAAAACATGAAAAGGCAAAAGCTATTAAATAATATCTTTAAAAATTGGTTACATTCAAAAGACGATAGGGATTCGATTTTTTTATCTTAAAACTGGTTGACTAAATACCAAGCAAGTGTCATGTGTTTCCTACATGAACTCTACCATTAGGTAAGCAAGTAGTAGATGAGGAAAATGTCTCTTATTTATTAGTTATCCCAACTAACAAAATGTTTTAATGATAGAATTAGAATATCATCATTTGCAATCTCCAGGAATTAATAGATGTAGACATTGAGTCACTATGACATTCATGAGACATGACCAAAAATTATTAATCTGCCTTCTAATCAGAGAACAGGCCACCACCTGTAGTCTTTCCAAGGCATCTAACCTGATCAAGCCTTTGGATCCAACAGCCAACTTAGAGAATATACAGAAGATGGAAGAACAGGCTGAGCTGCACCCTGAGTGTGCAGTTTCAGAGCTTGTCAAATGGCCTGAGCTTATCAACAGACGAATTGTAAAGAAAAGAGAGGGAGAGGGTGGGCACCTGTAAATTAAGAGAGACTTTAAGTGACACATTAATTCTTGAAATGGGAAAGAAAATTATAGTGTCTAGGGATGTGCACCTGAGAAATAAAACCATAAAGAAAGCAATCATTTTAAAGGTCAGGATAGTGGCTGTTACAGAGGGCGGGCAAGGAGGTCATGTGGTAGGCACATGAAAGGCTCCTCTGGGGTGGCTGGCGGAGTCTAGTTCTTGCTATGGGTGATGGTTTTGAGGATGTATTTCTTATAAGAATCCATTAAATAACACATGTACCTTGTGTGGGTTCCTGAATAATCTATTTTATAATAAGAAGTTTAAAAAAAAAAAAAAGATACAAAGGAATGAAGACAGAGTAGCCAATATAACAAAAAATTAGATTTCCCAAGTTTAACATATGTATAAAACATATTTTAACATTTTATATATATACATATGTGTGTTTGTATATGTATTCTGGATGTGTTCTAACTCCTTTAGCTAATAAGTGAGTACAGGATTATTCAAACCATGTGTGTCCAGTACTAGCATAAACATTTTACATGCATTATTTTATTCAATCCTCCTAACAACTCCACGAGGAAATATTAGCATCTTCTGTGTGAGGGCACTGGAGGCGATTGTTATGATATTTTCAAAGCAATCTAGCCATCCATCTGCGGTGCTCTAGGTATGGTTTGCCATGGATTGGATGATGACAGAATGAGTAGTGATGACATTTCAGTGGCATCTGGCTGGCATGTGGAATTTGGCACCCGCTCCCCTTCTCCACTAAGTGTGTAGCTTATGGCACCACTTAGAACACTGTGTGGCTTCTTCCCTGGTTTTGATGCTTTGGAAGATCAGGCATAAGAGGTCTGATCTTTTGCTGCTTTTTTTCTCAAACACATCAGTTTGGGTTTTTTTTTTTTCTTTTCTTTTCTTTTCTCCAACTGTTTGATAATGCCTTGCCCTGTGGTTGGGCCCAGAAGCAAAGCAAGTTCTGGGGCTCATTTTTGAGTCAACTTCTTAGTACAAAGGTGGGCATCCCAGTTCTAAAAAGGATTTCCTATGCAGAGATTGTCATTGTCATCCTCACCTTCCTATGCAGAGATTGTCTTTGTCATCCTCACCACCAGAGGACCAGGCATTGATTATTTTGTCCTCCTTTTTGCAGACTGTTTCAATCTTGGAGCAGCGACTGACTTTGACAGAGGATAAGCTGAAAGACTGCCTTGAAAATCAGCAAAAGCTTTTCAGTGCTGTCCAACAGAAAAGCTGAATAAAAAATTCATTTTCATTTGTTGGGCAGAGGCACAATAAATGAATAAATGTACATACACTCAGGAAGGTAGTACAAGATACTCCACGCAACATGACCATGTGCTATTTATCATGGCATTTCTTAAAAGGGTGAGCAACAGAACAAAAGGCAGAAAAGGCATATCTAAGGACTAATGTAAACACACAAATCAATGTGAAGGACTAATTTAAATTACTATCATTTATGATTGCAGTAATAAAGTGATAAGCATTCAAGCGACTCTGTATTTTCCCCATATTATTTTAAATGTCCATTTTCATTTCTAGGCCAAATCCTGCCAGGAAAGTAACCAAATCTCTGGATATCACTGTTAAGTCATTTCAGATTGACCATATTCAGACAGTCATGGGGTGAAATAATTCACTTACCTCCAAAATAGCATCCTACATGCAAATAATGAATTATTGATCTGACTTGTTATGTTTCTTTCTGTTCAAAATAAAAATTATCCTTTCTTACTAATGCCTTGAAAGGATGAACGAATAAAACTTCCCAGACCACAGAATTTCCACAGCAAGAATACACTTATTTTAATTAACACTAGCACAGATATGGCATGGGGCAGTGGGTTTTTTATTTAATTTATGGTGTACTTTGTTTATCCACTGGCCAACCTGAAGGAAATGAAACTCACCTGTCTATCACAGATGAATGTGCTGAATTATTTGGGTTGTATCTGATCATGGTTCACAAAAATTATGTTAGTGTGTTTTCAGTATGCTGAAAAGTCAGAGTGATGCAACAGCGATATTTAAAAATATACACACACGTATGTACACATGCTTCAGAAATATTGTTGCTTAGGATGATTTGAGCAGCTAAATAGTAAGTACTTTTTAAAATTTTTGCATCATCGTCTTCCTATTTAATGAATTGTGATTTAAAACAAAATGAAAATGAGCCAGGTAGTCTAAAAGATCCTGGTGACAAATTAAGAATTTTGTTTTATTTTTAACCAAATTGAGATTAAATTGAAGAAAAGCAAGCAAATTAATTTCAGCTTCATTATCAACCTATATCAAGAACAAAAATGGGAGAAGGTGTCCACATTTATGGTGCGTATAGGTAACATGGGGGAAAATGCTATTCTGTGTTTTGGAAAAGAAGAAATAGTGCCGTCCTATTTATTTCTATATTTAGAAATTTTTCTCAAAGAAATTTCAATTGTATCTATGAGGTGGGTTTCTAAGTATCTTATTGTGTGTTATAAGTGCCTTTTTATATCATACTAAGTGTGAGCTTCTGGACATTTTCAAGAGCTTACAAAAGCTATGTGGCATTGTACTTTTATAACCTCATTGAGAAGACTAAGAAATGAAATTTCCTATCAATTTTGTTCACTTTGTCATGCTTGAAACAATAAAGACATTTTTGCTTTAAAAGAAAAAGTTGTTCCTTTTCTTTTTAAATGATTAAAACTCAGAAGTACTAAACATCTTATCATCCAGCTCACTCAGTCTTTAATATGTGAGAATCTTCTGGAGAACTTGTCAAAACAGTTTCCTGGGCCCTATCTCCAGAGCTGACTCCATGCGTCAGGTGGGGCCCAATCATTTGCATCTCTAACAATCTCATAGGTGATGCTGATGCTTGTGGCCTGAGGTCCACACTTTAGAAACCACCTGTAGCCACTTCTTACAACCTGATGTTGCCAGACACTTTTTACAGTCATCACAGAACTTTATAAGTGATATAAAAATAGTGATGATATAAATGCAGATGCCTTGAAACTTTTTCAACAGACTCAATTTTCTAACTCCCCTCTTTACTTATCTAGTTGGTTAGTTAGTTAGTTAGTTATTTTTAGCATTTGAGGAATCTCCTTTATCTTCATCAGATTCCAGCCCCTCCCTTGCCTAACTTGAATATCCGGCTGCCTGATCAGCGTCTCCACTTGGAACTCTAATCGGCATCTCTAAATAGGTCCAAAACCGATTCTTCTGCCCTCTACCTCTAACTCCCCACCCCAACCAGTGTCACTAGCAGTTTCTTTCCTGGACTTGCATGTGGCAATAAAATGACAACTTTCCTTCCTATTGCTCAAGCTGAAGACGTGGAATCCTCTTTGATTCTTTCCTTTCACACCCCACAGTTCATTCCTTCAGGACATTTTAATGTAGAAAACACCTGATCACTTCTTACACCTTCATCTCCCACCACAATCCAAGCCACTAATCTCTTGGCTGGAAGACTACAAGTTGCCTCCTATCTTATTCCCTTTGTGTTGCTATAAAGGAATACCCGAGGCTGGATAATTTATAATGAAAAGAGGTGTATTTGGCTCATAGTTCTGCACGCTGCACAAGGAGCATAGTGCAGATGCTTCTAGGGAGAGCTTCAAGCTGCTTTCACTCATGGTGGAAAGTGGGGGAGAGCCAGCAGTGCATGGTGACAGAGGAGGAAGGAAAAGGGAGAGTGGTGCCAGGTTCTTTTTAACAATCAGTTCTCGCAGGGACTAAGACTGAGAACTCGCTCTCTACTTCGAGGAGGGCACCAAGCCATTCATGAGGGATCCACCCGCATGACCCAAACAACTCCCCTTAAGCCCCACCTCCAACAGTGGGGATCAGATTTCAACATGAGACTTGGTGGGGCCAAACAAACCATATCCAAACCATAGCACCTCCTGACTGGTCTCCCTGATGTCACCCTTGCACAGCAGACCACGGTGGTTCTTGAAAAGCCTGAGTCAAAGCACATGGCTCTTCAGCACAGAACACTTCAGGGCTTCCCATCTCAGAGTAAAAAGCCTAAGATGCAACCTCTCCTCCTTAAACTTCCCTTTCCTTCTCCTTGAATAATCCTCACTCACCGCCCTCTGGCCATAGTGGCCTCTATGCAACCCTTTGAAGAAGCAAAGTGTTCCCACCTGAGGGCATCTGTACATTTCCTCTGCCTAGAACTTTCTGCCCTCAGGCATCAATGAGGGCATTCAACCTTTGCTCACCTGGTACCTGTTCAGAGGTGCCCTCCCTGACTGCCCGAGTGACCCTCCATTCACTCCCTGAGCCTTCACCAGGCTTCATTTTCTCCAGTGCACTTATTACCATCCGACACATACATCAGTTCACACATGTCTTCCCCTGGTAAGCAACTCCTCCTGTCAGTCATTGATGGATCTTAGAGCTGAGAATGGTTTCCAGTTTGTAGTAGGCACACAGCGTATATTGTGTGAATATAGGACAACAAGAAGTTGCAGATTGTTTTCCTCCTCCACCCCTGAAGTGGCTTCTCAGCTATGATTAATTCCTGAGCAGAATGCCTCAGCAGCCCAGTTCAAGAAACTAAATTTGATGTGAGTGGCTGAGCAGGAGTGAGTCCTCAGGATATCTGTGATGGGGAAAAACACCAAAGGAGCCGTATTAATCTTCAGCCACATCATCTGATAGTATCACTTCCTTTCTAGTGGGTAGGCTCAACCAAATGGAATATAATAGGGTTTCTCAATATCTGTCTTCCTAGCTTCTATAGATAGGATTATTTTCTTGCACATAAATATTTCTCTTGGACTTACACAAGTTGTTAAAGTAGATGTTAAAGGTTTTACAGGCTTTTTTTTTTTTTTAAAGATAACTTCTCATTTGCTTGATGTATCTATTAAGCAGAGGCACATTAAAATTTTTTGAAGTTTATTTGAGCAACAGTGACTCATGAATCAGTCAGTGCCAAACTGCAAGCCGTTCTGGCTCCCCTGGAGTGCAAGGGGAAAACTTTTATAAGGTGTTTGAGGAAGCAAGACAGAAAATATTTGGATTGGTTAAAGTGGAACAGCAGCCTTAAAGTCTCTAGTTGGAGATTAGTTGGTGGATTCTGATTTGTTAAATGTGGTCTTCCCAGGATGTGACCACTTACTCTGAGTTAGGTTTCAGTTTGTTTACCTAGGAACTCTGGGTCCTAGAGCTGCCTCAGTGTAATGGGCTCCCAATTAATTATTTTAACAAACCAAAGGTTAGTTTGTATCTCATTTACAAATAGATTATTTCTTATTTTGATCTTGAACATTAGTTTCTTTAAATAGTACAGAAGAAAAGAGGAAGTTCAGTTAGTGAACTTTAGTGGAATATGTGAAAATAACTTCAGGGAAGATTTTGTTTATTCAATAATTATAGAGTATACTTAAAAACTATGTGGAAAGAAGTTAAATTGATAGACTTTACCTTTCTAATGATATATGATTATTTAGTTGATAGGACCTCTGAGTTTTACTAAGGCTTTGGAATTTTAATACAAACTTGTGCTACTCGTTTCTTCCAGAGACAGAGCAAGCCACTTGCCTGTGGGATGAACACAAATACAGCTGCTGTTTTTAAAAAATAATTTTTATGTACCTGCTGACATTTAAAAGTTGGAGATTTTATATTAACTAAATTAGGTCTCTAGCTTGTCTTAGGAAATCAGAAGATCTGCAACTATTGGGCCTGTGTTCCTCCATGGCAGCAATGAACTAGGGCAGGGTGGAGCAGACATACCCTACTCCATATTGCCTCCATCCCCCTCCACTGCTGAGCATTACCTGTCTGGCCTCTGCCTAATTAACACTGTAGATATCTAAGTCTTTCGCATAGTGTTCTAAGACTGCTGTCTTCTGTCCTCAATCCTTACCTTTTCAAGGTTATTTTCCGAGCATGCCTCCTTTTCTACATTCTTTATTCCTTACCGCACAATCATGCATCTTTTCCTCAGCCCTGCTGAACTTTTCATCATTAAGGGATGGAGCATGCCGCCCCCTTCCCAATTCCACTTACATTGAGCATGCTTTTTCCCTGTCACCCTACCTAACTCTTCTCTTCCTCGAAAACCCCTACTCATCCTTTAAAAGGCAGCTTGCATATCCCTGCATTATTTTTCTGTTGTGCTTCCTCAGCATTCTGTGCTTGTCTCTGGTACAACAGAGACTGTAATACAGTTGCAGCTCTGCCTCTTCCACTATGACTTAACCTATCCAAAAGGCAGGCGTTGTCATCTCTAGATTCTCCACTTAGCGCATTTTCTGGCTCATAGGAGGAGCTCAACAATTCATTTTTGAATAAATGAGTGTTTTTAATTTTCATTTATTGAAGTGTTTCTTTCTAAAACATTGCTCTATGCTTCACTTAAAGCCAAAAGCAGTTAAAACTAGGGCGGGTGGGCTGGAAGAAATAGGATAGGCAAACATTTAGACACCTGATATTTGGGGCTAAGTGGACACTACTATAACCTGCCATTTGTTAGATAGCTCAGCAGTTATGTAGACAGTCTTATAAGCTAGAAAAACTTGATGCAAATTCTGGCTATGCCATTCTCTGGCAGTGTGACTGTCAGGGAAGGTATTCACAAAGCTTAGTTTCCTTAACTATAAAAGGTAAAAACAATAATGTGAACTGCATTTGTGAAATGATTAGGACAGTAGCTGTCACAGAGTAAGTGATCAATAAATGGTAGCTGTTACTGTTATTAATAAATCACTTTGTTTCTCTGGACTGCATTTCCAAAAGATATGATTTCAACTATAACTACTGAAATCAGATATAGAAACTGTTACTAAGTGGTAGTGAATAAATGTGTGATATTTAATTCAAAGCCAATGTTGCATTTTTAAAAAATTAACAAAAAGAATGATTATATAAAAGAAATTAGCCTTTCATACACAGAAAACCTCAAGGTTCTGGCCAAACACTGGCAATTGAGCGATTCCTGAGGACTTCAGCCTAAGAACACTAACGTCATAATTATCCTAAATAAAAGTGAGGCAAAAACCAGAAGTGGAGGAAGGGCTTGGAATGTGAATCAAGTAAATGTGATTAAGCAAAAGGCTTGCCTGGAACTCAAACTATTTTTGCCTTTTGACCGTTTGGAGAACAGGTATTATCTGCTTACTGCCTTTTCTCTAAAGACAAGATAGTATAGACCCTCACTTAACATTTCATTTATGTGTTGAGCAAACTTGGAGGCTGTTAGTCCCATCTAATTCTATGCATCTAAGAGGAAGATAAACCATCTGTTCCTGGGTAGAAATATTTGGCTGCTGAGAGAGAAAAAAACAGTTATTCTAATATTTGAGGGTTATTGACAAGTATGATCAATCCATGAGCAAATTTGATAATAAAAATAGGTGGGTCTCTAGTACATTTTGAAGTGAAATTATATTATTGATATGCTTCATTTTCCTTCATGGCTTATACAACTCTTTGCCTTAGCAAGTCACGAGGTTTTAGACTTCATGCACCAGAGGATTTATGAATGTACAGTGAATCTAGGAACATAATGTAATTGCCAGGTTGTCCTCCATAAGCCCCAGCTGTGACTCAGCCAGCTAACACAATTGCAGCCTGAGCTTACTAGGAAAACAGGTCAATGGCTTGCCAAGAGGCAGAGGTTAATGGGAAGCACGGGTGGCAGGAGTATATGC